GTCTGATTGGCCGTAGTGAGGTGGGCGGGTTCGGGTTGCTGGGAGGAATGGGCCTCCCCTCGCTGGATACCAGAGCCCCGCAGTTTGCAAGCCGGGAGATCTGAGAGTAGCTGGTGCCTGTCCCCGCGAAAGTGGACGTTTCCAGCTGGTCCGGGCAAGCGGGAGTTCTGAGAGTAGTTGGTGCCTGTCCCCGCGAATGTGGACGTTTCCAGCTGGTCGGGGCTCGGGGAGGTGCGCTTCTCAAGCTGTGACTGATGTGCAGAGGAGCAGGCAACCCTGTCACAGATTCTCTTCTGGGCACTGACCAGTATCCTCCACATCGTTTTGTAGGTAGGCCTCTTAATAACTGCTCCTCTTATAACCGCATCGCCAGGTGAGGTGCCCTTTAGTATAGCTTTGTGTTTATTCCTTTTTGTTATTTGTTTCCTAATAAATCACCCTGTGTAACTTCTGCATTTTATTTTCCCTTTTATTGTAAAACATGGTTCATATAAAATAAAGCTACTTTCCGTTAGCTTTTCATCATTTTTTCATAGACCAATATTTTTGTTTTTATATTTCTCAATTTTTTTTTTGCGTTACTACTGTAACTTTAAAGAATTAATACCATTTAATTACACAGTTGCCATGTAAGAAGCCCTCTTCAGTAGATTTTTCTGAGGTCCAATGTCTTTCAGGGACCGGTTTCAGTGAAAAGTTAACTGTCTTCCAGTCCTGCATGCATCTAGTTATTGCCATTTCAGTTCTATTCAAATAATATGAAAACATTTTTCCTGGTTCATCTGCATCATTTACTTAAGATTTGCAATCCGTTCTATCAGAAATTATTCTCCGGTACACCCATGCCCCCCTCCCCCCACAGTACTCAATAAACCTGACCAAATGAACCTATACAGTCTCTCTGGGTGACCTTGATTCTCTCCATTCTAGCCAAAGCCACCAAGCATTGGTAACTGTCAGATCTTTTTTGCTACCTGGGGCTCTCCCTTGAGCTAAAGATTCAAATGTTGGTGTGTAACCAGGTCTTCACTGGTCTTCACAGGTCCAGACATCACCTATGTAGAGGCCTTCTCAGCATCCATTTCCCTCTTCTGTGGCCTAAGGAAGGATTCTGACTTTCCTGGGATGGGATTCCCATTTTTCCCAGAGTTCACAGGAGCCATCCAAGTAGGTGGAGATTCCCCAGCTCCAGAATCGGGCTTCTTTCTAATTACGTCCAGTCAGTGACGCTTGTGCCCCCATGACTGCTTCAGGAAAGGGCTTGGGCTGCCATATGAACCAAAGAGGCGAGAGGGGCTTGGCAACCTCTGTCCTCTCCTTATGACCACAAAGGGAAGCCAGCCTTGGTTGAAAGCACAGCTGAAGAAACGGTCCTCGAAGATATTGTTGGGCCACTGAATCAAAGCAAACCTGAGGAGCCTCCAGCTTCTGGACTGCTTGGTTTCCTGAGCCGCATCCAATCACCCTTTACTGTTGGATATTTGAGGTGGATTTTCTGTTCCAAGGCCTCTTAACTGATAACCTCACACTCCTTCACCCCATTGAGTTAATGAATCGGTGACAAGTCATCCTGATTATCTCAAATCCGTTCTCTCCACCTTGATGCTGTGTTTACTTTGGGCCACCCTCTTCTGGGCTTGGCACCAGCCTTCCTCACTGGAGCCGGAATACGCTTTTTAAAGCAGTGCTTTTCTGAATGTTGGTCCTGACTCAGCAAGTTGTGATCCGTTAGTGGGTTGTGAAGTCAGTTTTGTGGGTTATGACCTGTATTTTATTTTTAGTGAAATGGTAAAGAACAGACTACATGAAAATATTAGGGTGCGTGCATGTAGCAGAGTGAGTTTTTCCTCATAATTTTTTGTTATGTTTGTACTGGCTCATGGTATGAAATGGGGTATTACAATGGGTCCCAGGCAAAAAGTCTTGAAACCTCTCAGAGTACACATCTGACTGCACCGCCCTCCTGTTTAAAAATGTCTTGCTGCTTCTGTTTTTAACCTGGCGTTCAAGGCTCCTCCTGCTTTGTCCTGTCCATCATCCTTTCTCTCTGTTCCCTTGTCACCTACAAATTGGCACTGACCATCTACCTCTACAAGGATTAAATTATGAGCTGCTGCAGCTGCTGACCTTCAACACCTCCTGACAGGAATTCAGGGCAGAGATCAGGAATGTGGCGCTCTGTACTCTAGGAAAAACTGGCAGAACAGTTCTTCAGATGGTTAGATATTTTCAGGAGAAGATTTTATGAGCCCACTTCTTGATTCTCCTCTTATGTAGAAAAGCACTAAAATCCTTCATGGTGACGTCTGCTCCTCGTGACGAGCAGAAACTTTCTGCAAAAAATATGTGCTTGATTGTATGTACTCCCCCTTTACCAAAATCACATATGTACTGACCTCCCCGCTACCTGTTCAGAGCAGTTTCTCCGAGCTATCTGAAATGCTGCCTCCTGGGGTATTGTCCTCATTTTGCCCCCCAAAAAACTTAATTCTCAGGTTGTGCTTTTTCTTTTCTCAGTTGACACCACCTGCCCACCACACCATGGCCCAGTGGTTTTCAAAGCGTGGTCCAAATTTCAGCAGCATCTGGGAACTTGGTAGCAATGCACATTCTCAGGAGTCCACCTACTCAG